AAAAAAAAAAAAAAAAAAAAAAAAAAAAAGAAAAGAAAAAAAACAAAAAAAAAAAGAAAATGAGAAAGCAGAAGAGAAGGAAAGAGAATATTACAGAGCCCTGGAGCATTTGAACCAGGAAGAGGCCAAGTAAACCAGCAAAAAGTTTTACATTATTCTAAATGAAAGAAGCCTGTCACAAAATATCAAGACTTCTATGAGCCACATACTTGAAATGTCTTGAATAGCTAAATCTGTAGTAATGAAAGTAAATTGGTGGGTGCCAGGGGTAAAGGGAGCAACTGCTAATGGATACAGGGTTTCTATGGGGCCATATAAATGCTCAGGAAATAGTTGTGATGGGTGCATAACCTTGGGAACATACTAAAAGTTCATTAAAAAGGTGAACTTTATAGTGTGTGAGTTACATCACAATAAAGCTGATTTTTTTAAAAAAAAATTATAGTAAGAAGGCAAGCTAACATACACTTAAAGAAAAGGAGTGGTCAGCCCTGTCAAATACACTATAAGATGAATACTATAAAAGCTATATTATTTTTACACACTAGAGATCCTTGTATCAAACAATATCAATGGAGGAAATTATGGGAGAAGAAAATCAGGCATCAATGAGCTGAAGAATGTAATCCATAAAAGCACAGTAAAGGAATTTTTAAAAGGCATAAATCCACAGAGCAGGAAGAACAGTAAAGGAGAAAACAGCAACATAACTTTGGAAACTAGAAATCACACAGATAACTAGCTTGGGGAAAAAAAATCCTAAACTAACAGTAGGGAATTCAGAGCACCAACAAAATTAACCTGGAAGAATCTTCATCAGGTGTTGATGGCCATCAAGAAAGGGCCAAAATAAGGAGGACTGGATAAAACTTTAGGCATATGCTCTCTCCTACTATGCAGGCAGAAGTCTAGAGTTTTATTTTCTAGACAGGATAAAACAAAGTCTCTGGCAATCTGGCCTGCATTGTTAAGACCATAGCAAAAACGGTGATTATGTGAAAAACTGTCTACTGAGCACTAATAGTATCCTGTCCCTCCCCCATCCCTCTTCTACTCAGCTCTTAAAAATACCAGTGGCCAGCTCTTAATCCTTCAGAAGAATGACTCTTCTTTGTGGAACTGACCATCCTCTGGCAAACTGATCTTAAGGTAATGATGTCAGGATTTCTCAACCATCCCTTCCAGCCAGATCTATAGAGAAGTCCATGTACTCTAGCCCAGTCCATATGAGCTTTCATCATGATCCACACAAGTATACAACTGAGGACTACCAGGTATCTAAAAAAAAAATCTCTAAACCTCTAAAGACAGAAATTAAGAAGGGAAAGAATTGTGATGGAAAATAAGCATGTAAGCAGAAAAATATAGTCAGTAATATCTTCAGAGAGCTAAAGTTATTATAGTCTTAAAAATTACAGCACCACAAAACAGGAACAATTCAGAAAAATAATAGCTCTTTGAAATTAAAATCGTGTTAACAATAATTGGAAAGCTCAATAGAAGAATTTGATGATAAAGCTGAGGATATCTCTCAAGACGTAGAACAAAAATGCAAAATGATGGAAGCTGGAAAGAAAAGATTATACAACCCAGCCAACAGAAGGCTGACATCTAAATATAGGAATTGCAGAAAGTCAGGAGAGAGAAAATAGAGGGGAGGCAATCATCAGCTGTATGACTTAAGAAATTTTCCAGAACTATAAAACATGAATTTCCAAATTAAAGGATCAGGAAGGATAACTGACTTTGAAGTCTCAATAGTAACACTGGAAGCCTAAAGACAATGAAGAAATGCCTTCTAAGTTCTGAAGAAACATAACTGCCAATCTAGAATTCTGTTTCCAACCAAACCATCAATCAAGGGAAAGGATAATATAAATTTCTTTTTCAGATACACAAACTCAAAATATTTACCTCCACACTCGCTTGGGAAGCCATTAGAGAATGTGCTCCATTAAAGGGATATATCTCAGTGGAAGGGTACTCGCCTTGCAATGTGTAGAGCCCTGTTTCTGTCCCCAGCCTTGGTGAAAATAAAGCAGAAAGGAAAATATAATGGGACATAGGAAGCTGACAGGAATCTCCAAATGACAGCTGTGTACCAGGCATAGAGGACCACAGGGCCTGAATGGACCCAGTCAGAAGGGTCCACCAGTGGGATGCCTGAGTGAATAAAGATTTCAGGAGGAGATTTATAAACCGAGAATTAGGAAACAAAATACTTATAAATAATACTGATAAATGAATCAACTGTAATAAGACATTTTTAAGGATAGCCAAAAGCACAGAAAAGATAAGTCATGATTTAATTGTATGGCCCAGCTTTGAGTAGCAAACTTGATCAAAATGAAGTCAATACTGAGTATTACTCATCAAAATTATGTTATAACTTCATTGGGAAGACAGTAGGAATCTGAAATACATGGGGGGGAGTGAGAGGGAAGAAAGAAAACCAATCCTTGTTGTCTATAACAGAAAGTCAAAAGGATGTCTAAAGCTGAAAAACTCAAGAAACAGGGGAAAGGCTGCTGAGATTGCCATTTTTGTGAACAAATATTGTAGAATAAATTAACACTTTATACGAACTATTGACTTTGCTCAAAATAAAAAGTGGATGGGTTATGCAGAAAAAAGTACTGATAGCCAGAGTAGGCAACTCTGAAAAAGCCTATGAAAGGAAGTAGAGAGAAATAAGTAATGGCCAGGGATTTAGCTCAGTGGTTCTGCCACCTGCCTCGCAAGCACAAGGACCCGAGTTCGATCCCCGGTACCAAAAAAAGACACACACAGAGAGAGAGAGAGAGAGAGTAATAAGTAACTAGAGGGATGTGGACAAAGTGGGTTTGTTGGTATAGGAGTAACAGAGCAGGGTCACATGCTGATGGTAAAATTCTAGTTGATGATGGGACTGAGAATGAATGAATAAGAAGAAAAGCAATAGACAATGCTAACGTATGCTGGGACTTGCTTCCCATACACAACAAGGAGAGGATTATAGGTATGCATATAGAAGGAGGAAAAGTTTTTCCTTTTTCCACAAGTGATGGTCATTAGCTAGGAACGAGAGTATGGAGAAGATAAGGAGAAAGGTGAAAATATGGCACACTCCTTGCTTAAGAGTGGGAAGAAAAGGTTACAGAGGAACTGTAGATAGCGCACATCTGAAGCGTGCCTAGCTGAAACAGTCCCTTTCAGTGCCCGTGTGATACCCTAAGAAATGTTCAGTAACCACATCTTTTAAAAAAAGTATATATATACAGAAGAAAATAAAGTGTTAACAGTGAGCGTGACTGAAAGCAGAAATATGTTCTCTCTACTGGTCTCTGTTTTTCCATGATGAAAGCAAGCATGCTGGGCACGGTGGTGCATGCTAGTAACCCCAGCATCTGGGAGGATGAGGTAGCAGGGTTGCCGTGAGTCAGCTTGGGCTACATAGTAAGTTCAAAGCCAGCCTGAACTGCTTAGCAAGATCCTGTCTCAAGATAAATAAAGTAAATAAAAAAGGGAGCAAGTATGTACTGTATTCATAATGGAAACATTAATCTTTATTTTTCTGAGGGAATCCTAAGTTTTGGTAGCACATACTGATGATACCATGGTCAAGATATGACGTTACTACCAAAACACTAAAATAATTGTGTTCATTTCCATGAAGAACTGGTAAAATATGCCATATTTACACAGTTGAGTCCTATATGGCTATTAAAAGAGGAAGTTCTTTATATACAGTATATACAGTACCCACCATTTTATAAGAAGAGTTAATTTTAAGCATAAAACTTTATCTAGGAAGGCCAGTAAAAATGAAATAGGAGATATGGAAACACCTTCAGAATCTATAATTAACTGAAATTGAAGGTATTTAACTCATAATGCATAATGCATTATAATAATGCATAATTTAACTCATAATGCATAATGGAGAAACTTTCTTCAAATACTATTATTCTCATAACCAGAGTGATGGATCACAATGGTACAAAAGCACTAAACAGTGCAGTACCATGATTTGCCTACCTGTTCAAGCATCAGTATGGAATCTCGGAGCACTCCTTTTAAACGATGGGCCTGATCTTTGTCCTTTTGACTATCTTCTGCTCTAGAGATGGTATCAGAGGATAAAATGAAAGAAAACAACATCATCAAAATCAAGAGACTAGCATATAATCCTTCATTTCCACAACTTTCAGTGCCCCATAAACTGCAAATGAAACACAAAATTAAATCAACAAAGAATCTATTTATGACTGTAGGAGACTAGCAAACCAAAATTTCTGAAACTGGAATTAGATTTTAACAAGGAACTATTGAAATAATATGGTAAAAATACATGGGGTGGGAGACTTACCTGAAATATTTATCTTCTTGGAGGTGGAGATGGTAAAAGGACTGAGCAGCATATTCAATCTTTGACAGCTTCAGAAACAGTGTCACATTCAACAAAACTAGCAATATCAAACTAGGCAGAGCACATTATAACTGGTTAATTCACACTTATCCAAACTAATGCAAAATATACATGCAAAAGCTTCAAAAATGTATGTTCTCTAGACTGTCTTCCCATTATTTAAATAAATTATCCCTGTTTTATTATATAAAATAAGTAAGGCATTAAGTGGAAACTAAAGAAAAAGAAAGTAACTAGTAAGAAGTACAGTAAAAGTCCCTTCAGAAGGCCAGGGATTTCACTCAGAGGTTTCCGCTGCCTGCCTCCCAAGCACAAGGTCCCAAGTTCAATCCCTAGTACCACCAAAAAAAAAAAAAAAAAAAAAAAGTCCCTTCAGTATCCCCAACTGGCAGGTCGAGGTTGTCTCTGACATCGCTCTTCTCCATTGCCAATTCCAGCCAGTGCAGAGAGGACTACCAGCTCAGAAATCTATCAGGTAAGCTTTCATGCACTATTTTTGGGTACTTTGGCTTCAGCAATTACATGCTCATAATATTGCATTACAAAAAGGAAATGAAGATCAATAAAAAGCTGATCTTAGGTAGATCATGACGCATCTTATTCCCAGTAGAAGCAAAAAAAGCACACACACACACACACACACACACACACACACACACACACACACACATATATTTCAGCAAAATTTTCTTCTCACTCATAATGGGCAAAGAAAGTTATCAAGTCCCAAATATGCATTAATGATATAAAATATAAAATATTATATGCTAAGTGAATTTAATGTACTGGTTTTCACAAGAAACTTTCAAATGACTGGATTCATACATTACTATACATATATGTAAATACAGAGGGCTAAGGATGTAGCTCAGTGGGAGAGTGCTTGCCTAACATGCACAAGGCCCTAGGTTCACCCCAATACAGGAAAAAGAAAAACAGCAATAAAATACTACATGCTCAACAAATTTAATGTATTGGTTTCACAGCAGACCTTCAACTAAATGAAACCATACCTTTTTAGACATACATATATGCAAATATATAGGTGGCATCATTATCTCTGTACATATCTTTTTCTGTTAAAATACTGATTTACCTTAAAAATATATAATGGGTCAGTGAACGTAGCTCAATGGTAGAGCACTGGCCTAGCATGTAAAAGGCCCTGGGTTTAATCCCAATACTATAAAAAAAGGTGTGTGTATATAATATGTATGTATATATACAATACTACTCAAAGGTCAATATTGGGAATTTATATAACTATATAGAGAAAAGAGGGTTTAAAGAAAAAACAAGGCTAGTAAGAAAATCCTATCTATGAAATTACTATGGCATTGAAATAGTATGTAAATCAGCAATTCAATATTTGAGTATAAATTTTCTGCAAAGCAATGCAAAAAACACTGATAATATTTACCATTCAAAATTATTGATCAAGTGCTCGCTTCAGCAGCACATATACAAAACTGTTGATCAATATAAACTAGTAACAAACTAAACAGAATATGGTAAACCTTCCACAAAACTCAAAGGAATAACAAATATTTTCTATGTTCTAAAATCTATAATGAGAAAAACTAATTGATATGAATTTCAATACAAAAAATTATCATCCAGAAGGCATCGTTGTGTCAACCAATTCAGCTGGTCTAAGAGACTAACATTTAAGATTCACACAGAGCCACGAGGATATCAGTACTCTAACTATGACTGCCCAAGTAGATTCCTATAGTGTGCCTTATGATTCAGACTAATTGCCCCATTATTTTTATCATGTCATGCTTTCAATGCCATCAGAATAACCTCGAGTGTGTGCTTTAAAATACTGATTCTTGACCCCTAGAATCAAGGACTACTGACTCAAAGCCTCTTCTTCAATCTCTGGAATTTAGGGTCAAGAAGTCTGAATTTCAGTAAGCTCCCCAAATGACTGTAATGCACAGTAAAAGACAGAACCACTGAGAGTAAAATAGTATTTTGAGGACTTTACCAGAATGTACATATAAATATGCACTTTAAATTTATGGAAATTCCCACTAAAACTATGAGAGTAGAAATAAGTCAGATTGGTTACAAAATAAAGACATTTGTTTAATATGTACTTTGTATTCCTTCAAATTTAACAACTCTGAAAATCATACGTCAAAAACTATCCTATTTGTAGTCCAACATTCATCAAATAGTGGCAATTTCTACCCAGTAATATACAAATACATTCAAATTCATTTGGCAACCAGTTAAAAGTAAATGAAGACACAAAGAAAATTAAGATTCACAATAAATACTTACAAAATACTCATTACTATAATCAGAGCAATGTTAAAATTTTCCACTTTCTTTTTCTTTCCTGAAGACCACAGAAAAAGGATGTATTAGAATGAGGACTATGATTACAACTGATAAAAATTTAATATTCATTTAAAAAGAAATGGAAAAGAAAATTTTAAAATTATTTGTAAAGACAAAGTAGCTTAGGGGAAATTCCCTGCACTCTTTTTTTCAATTTCTGGTATCTTGAGTAATGTGAAACAAGTCTATAAAAAGAAAACCTATAAGGCCAGGGATATATCGCAGTAGTTCCAGCACCTGACTGACAAGCACAAGGACCCGAGTTCAATTACTGGTACCAAATAATAATAACAATAATAAATAAATAAATAAAACCAAAAGAAAACCTATAACAATCCTTCAAATTTTGGTAAAATTACCCTACAATTAAACAAACAATTAATCATGTGTGATATATAGCTAAGTACTATCTCTGCAAATAATAATTGAGCTTTGTTTATGTACCGAGCTTCACTCCTTAAAAAAGATCTTCACCTATTCATTGTTTTTAAATTCCAAAATTAAAGGACCATTAACCATCAATAGTGAATAAACATAGTCACACTAAGATATGAGCCTAAAAGTAATTTGATAATGTAGGAAGATGAGACTGTATGATAGCTTTATAGCTCTGAGAGGGAAGAGTAGCAGTTAGTAGGGGCAAGATGTCTTCAAACTTTAGAGAGTAAAGATAATAAAAGCCAAATTCCATCTTTATAGTTTTCTGAGGCTGGACTTGACAGAACCTAAGAGCAGTACGTCAAAGGCAGAAGTCAAATATCAGTGGGTGCTAGGTGAGAATCAATGAGGGGAGCAGTGCAGGAGCAGGGCACTGGTGTTGGTGGTGGGGTCTATGGCCAGCTAAGGAGCACACAGTCTGAAGCTGCAACGACAAAGAAACTGAAGCCAACTGTCGCCATGAGGGATTTTGATAGTGGGCTGTCATCTGAGTTTCTATATAAAAATCTCCAGTTTCAAATTGTATGGGTCAAATAAATTACCAGTATTGGTCATACACTTGCCATTTTGCAAATGCTCTTTTATGCTTATACACTAAGTTTCAATAACTGAATATGGTAAAGATTATCAAAAAGAAGGGGAGATAATCAGACCTCCTAACTGACTTATAAATAAGCTAAGATATTCATCTGTTTACCAGTGACAGCTACCTGGAGTGCCTCCTTTGGTCTCTAAGCTCATATCTCCAGAAGAACCCGGGGAAGCAAGCTTCAGAACGGTTTCAGCTGTTCGGTTTAATGTTCGCCTTCTTTTTCGTAGGCCACTAAGTTTTCCAGCATTTTCAATGGACTGATTTAACACAGATTCTTCCATTAACAACTCTGATTCTAAGAAATGGAATTTTTAAAAAGAATCTTTAGATATGGGAAAAATTTAAACTATAAGATAGAAGGATTTTTGCTTGTTTGTTTGTTTGTACTGGGCATCGAACTCGGGTCCTTGGGCTTGCAAGGCAGGCAGAGGAATCCCTGAGCTAAATCCCCAGCCATAGAAGGATTTTTTTTTTTAAAGCCTTGATAACTTTCTTTAACTATCTGTAAGGTTCTTATGGCCTAGATTCAAACTTTACTTCTAATAAAAAGCTTTACAGGTACAGGTACAATGACCCCATAATGAAGTTTCATTATTCTAGGAAGAATGTATATTAAAAATATTGGAGGTCGGGCCAGGGATTTAGCTCAGTGGTTCTGGCACCTGCCTCACAAGCAAAAGGACCTGAGTTTGATCCCTGGTACCAAAAACGAACAAACAAACAAAAAAGTATTGGGGGTCATCAGTTCAAATTTGTCGTGTGTTATATTAAATAGTAATGCAGTGGTTTCAGTTATAGAAATAACAGGCCACCCACTGGATCATTATAAAGATTTCCAAGATAGGATATGGTACCTCAAAGGAAAGAGCAGCATATAATAGTTCTCATTTTCAATGAGGGTTTACAAAAAAAAGAAACACTGGTAAAGAAAATCTGCAAACCACCTAAAAATCCCATTTTTTATCATTTATTTATCTTTTTCCTTCATCTGAGTTTTTGTTAGAAGCTCAATATCCCGTAGCCAAACTAATTTTTGAGTTTCATTTTCTCTACTCCTGATGCATTTAGCAATGAAACAGCCAAAGAGACTAAGGCCAGAAAAATAACTAAACAATAAAAAAAATTTTTTTGAGACAGAGTTTCACTCTGTAGTTCAGGATGGGTTTGAGCTAACTATGTAGTCCAGATTGGCCTCAAACTTGTGGTGATCTTTCTATCTCAGCCTTCCAAGGGCTGGGATTACAAGTGTGCACCACCACACCTGGATTAAACAATAAAATCTTAAACTAGCCTGAGCTGAACCCCAGCTCTTCCTCAACTAAAATTATGGTCACATGTTTATATATTCCTTCTTTGTGTATACATGAAGAAGCACCTGAACACTAGAACAGCTGTTATCACTTGCCTCAGCCAACTGCCAGTATGCACCTCCACAAAATCCACATGTATACATAACACCACAGCTAAGTGGGTCTGCATCGGCCCAGGAAAGCTACAGGTGACCTGGTCATGTAACCCCTCCCTGCAGTCACCTTCCTTGGCTCCTTCCAGAGGCAGAAAGTCTAACAGCTCTTAAGTGCGTGGTCATGGGCAAGTCATTAACTATGCTGTGTTTCAATCTCCTCTTTAGTGAAGTGGAAAACAATAATTATACCTACTTCACAGGGTTGTTATGAGTATGAAATGACTTAATATTTATAAAGCACATAAAATCTTGTATATCTGGCATATAATAAGTACCATATAAGTGTTTCTTAGACAAACAAAAATTGAAAGTTTTGAAATCCCACAGGTGGTAAAACAAGTTAGGAGAGTTAGAACCAACGGTTTCTGTGAGAGTCATTCCAACCTTATTTACCAGCTCCTACTATGAACCCAAATGAAGACTGCATCTCTTTTACTAATAAATGCTATCTTTACAAATATAGATTCATCAAAAACTATACAAACCAAGCTGTCTGAAATAGTGCTCCAGTGAACTCCAAGAATTCTTCTCAATTAAAGATTTGATAAGGCCCCATGGTTGTTTTTTGTATTTCAAATCTGTGGAAACTCTAATCAGATAAAAGGAAAAGAAGACAATGTATGTAAGGACAAATTTTAGTTATGTTAATGTTGCAATTAGATGTAAGGTTATATTACATGCAAACGCAAAAGGATGCAAAGTCATTAGAACTAAAATAGAAAATTTGTGTACTGATGACAATTTCTTCAAAAATCAATGTGAGCTGCTAGTAACTTCATCAAATTGTCCTTCTAAGTACATGCCATTTTTTGTTACTTTACTTTCTGTAGCCCTGAATTTGCCTTAGCAATCAAAGCTCCAAATACATGCTAAATTTTATAAATGCCTTATATAAAACATCTCTAGAGGTCACATATTAGCTGAAAGTAACTACATTAACTAGGACTGGCCCATTACTCCTTAATGCACTAACACTTCTCCTTTCCTACTGCTCACCATGTGCTCCCCCAGAACTCCTTGCCTACAAACAGGGTCATGTGACGAGTCCAATGAACTACGAGCACATTCCTCCAGCTTTCTATTAGCAACTGAAATGCCCTTGTTCCGGGCTTTGTGGAACAGGATGACAAAGCCTTCAGCAACTGGAGTCCTGGGTGAGGAGCCCCACCCCTCTTCTGCCTAAACATGTAATCTAGGCAAAAAATAAAGCTGTGTTGTATGCAGCTAAGAACTCAGAATCAATATTACCAGAGTATATGTAGCCTCCTCTAACATACTCATTTGTAATATCTCACCTTAGTCTGCATTTCTGTTTTGAAGATCGAATGATACAGTATCTGTTCAGGGTGTAGAAGTAAGCATGGTAAGGGACATCATGGGTCAATACTTCTGAATCCACTAAATAAAATTGTGCTTCCCGACTTTCTTTGTACAGTATCTGCCAAAATAAGATTTTTAAACATTCACATGGACATTTTTTAACATTTTATGTGTTTCTTGGCAATTTAGCACATACTAGAAATCCTCAGAAGTCACAAGACACCAGGAGTTTATATACCGAGGTATGACAAGCCCCCATGTGGGCTATGCTGCTATGAACTGATAAAAGATCCGCAGAAACAGAGAAGCTTCCACTCTGTCATTTCACTGTACAACTGATACTTTCTTTAAGGCATAAGGAAGAGAAATAATCTCTTATTAAGAGTTTTATAGGGCCGGTGATTTAGCTCAGCAGTTCAGTGGCCTGCCTCGCAAGTGCAAGGACCTGAGTTCGATCTCCGGTACCACAAAAAAAAAAAAGTGTTTTATAATTTCCTGTTAGGGGGGCAATTCAAAAATCAATTGAACAATAACAAGGGCCTACTCCAAAATTTACGAAAGCTTAACAGAACCACCCTTCACAAAAAAAAAAAAAAAAAAAGGAGAAGGGGCTAATGAGTAAAACATCATTCTTCCTAAACCCAACTTAAAGGGCCTAGCAGCTAAATAAACCTTTCTCATTTTAACCACATTTTTTCTACCTATCTTCTAAGAGGATTCTCATGGTTATTAAAAATTCCAGTCAACCAGAACACTGAACTTTTCTTATATTTTTGACTTCTTTAAACTTTTTTTTTCAAAGCCAAGAAATCACACCATTTTAAACTCCGATGCACAGAACTGCGAGAGCATGCCTTGTCTGGGTGTTAACAATAACTGCAGAACAGACACACTATACTTTGACACAAATAGGCCAAACACACAACTCCACTCTAAAAGGGTATGCACTGGTTACTGAAGAAGAGCATTCAATAGCTAACATTTAGTTCTGTGAAGTCAATCTCTTCCCATCACAACTGCCTGGCTATTTAGCCCTAACCCTTTACATGATGCTATAAATCAGATTTTAGAAATACACTTTAAAAAATCTTCTATTATGAAAAAGTATAAACATGCACAAGAGCAGAAATGAAGTACAATGAACTCTCATGAACTCACTGACCAACTTCAACATTAACTACTGCCCGCTCTTGTTTCATCTGTAGCCCATGCCCATATTCCTTTCCTCCACTACTATCCTCTGGTCTGGCTAGTTTTAAAAGAAATTCCAAGCATCAGTATAATTTCATCCCCAAACACTTAGGTACATTTCCTTTTAAATTCCTCAGTATATCACTTAAAAAATATAAGCACTCTTTGTTAAAACAAATAACACCATTATTACGCAAAACAAAGTAACAAGTCCTCAAATCTCATAAATACCTTTTTAACAGATAGTTTACTGGATTAGGATTGGGCTGAAAATGGCTTTATATAACTCTATTAATCTATAACGGTTTCTCCTCCCCCTTTTTTCCCTTGTCAATTACTTGTTGAAATTATCTTGTAAACTAGTGACTACGACAGGCATGTTCTCTCTTGCCATACGCATGACTCTTTTGGAATGCTAACAGAACAGACATACCTGCTTTTCAGTAGCAGCAGTACATTTGCCAGTAAGTGGGTTATTAAGGACTATAGTATAGGTCATGGTTCTCAGTTGATCACCTCCAGATTCTATAGTCCAAGGAGTAGACACTACGTCTAATCATAGCAAACATAAAATAAGTTAGTTCTAGAAATTTGAACGGTTTGACTTTAAATGGAATCAAAGGTATAGATTTAGAATTAAATTTTAATTTTGACCACTCCTAACCCTCTGAAACTATATGCTTAACATTAAAGCGAGTAAATGTTAGATGCTCTTCTTAAATATGACATGTACACATCTCTGAAACACTTATTTCTAAATTGTTTTCTGCTAGTGAACTTTTTCTTTAGTAGAAGATAAAAGTTACTTCATCTGTAGGCTTCTTTTTAAAGTCCCTGGGACCTATGGAGAGGGATAAAACAACACTTCAACATACCATCATTGAGGTTAACACTTTGAAAGACATTTGTTATTGTGCAACAATGTGACTTTAATATCCACTTATAGAGAAATCTTATCAGTGTTATGAGAAATCATGAGTGTTAGTGGCTTGTCTGCCAAAATATTTAATCAGGTGAGATGACAGCATATAAATGACTATATTTTATATAACTTTTTCTACATTAACAAAGCTATAGGATCATCTCTTTACGTTTTTGGCATGATCTTCATCAAAATTCTTGTGTGTACTTAGGAACAACACAGAAGTACAAACACTCTTTGAATAGAAATATAGCTTTAGAACAGCACTATACAGTGAAGGTCATTTCATGCAAGCCAAAAGTTAGTTAAGTACAGATAAAAGCATTACGAACACCATTCAAAGACCTAACTAGATTATCTAATGCTGCTACAAAAATGGATGTGGGCAATTACTTAACATGTTTGGAGGCTATTCACTAAATTCTAAAGTATAGAAGCCTTTATTTCACCCATTACCCACAATCAAAGGAATGAAGCAAGGCTTTAGGATATAGCCAACTTTATTCAACTTCTCTTATACAGCAAGGCCTAGGGACTTAATGAGGGATCTTGAAACTGTCTCTTCAGTATCTGGAAAAATCTTACAACTAAATTAAAAAGAAAGCATCAGAAACCATAAAAATCTATGAAAGTGGTTTATTTAGGTATACATGAAATAAGAATATAAAATTAATTCTAAAATGCTTTTAGTTATTTTGAGACAGAGTCTCACTATGTAGTTCAGGCTGGCATTTAAATCACCATTTCGCCCAGGCTGGCCTCAAACTCACAGCAATCCTTCTACCTCAGCCTCCTGAGTGCTAGGGGTATAGGCATGCACCATCCACTCCTGGATATCTGAAATGCTTTTTCAGAAGATTTCTTAAATCATATGTCAGTCTATTTCATGAAAATGATACAAATAAGCCACTTTATAGCTACTTTACATCAGAAACAGAATTGAAGAAAATCATTGAATTCTGCTGTTAGAACTGGATACTAAGCAATAAAGCAAAAATCAACAAGGATCAGACAAAAATATACATATATTTTGCCATATTTGCTACACTTGTATCTTTACCAATATTACCAACAAGGCCAAATGAGTATCATTTGCCATAAAATTATCAAATTAACATCATATTGGAACAGTGAATCCTGAAATACATAGGTAAGTCCTACCTCGTATTTAAATCTCAAATAAAATTGTAAGAAAATGCTAATAGTATAGCAAAGGACACATGAGCCATTTTGATATGGTGAAGTAAAGTAATTAAGAAGCAGGAATTATACAACAATTGCTTTAAGAATGTTTTGAAATAAAATTTTTAAATTGGTGAATTTTTACATCCATTAAGATGGCTATTATAAAAATTACACAGAGAAAAAACAAAAAGTTAACAAAGATGTGAAGAAATCAGAACTTCTGTACATTGCTGGTGGGAATGCACAATGGGGGCAGTCATGATGGAAAACAGTATGTCTTTCTCAAAAAATTAAACACTTACCCTATGATGCAGCAATTATACTTCTGGGTATATAGCCAAAAAATGTATACGGAAAGCAGAAGACTTGAATAGATATGCATACATCAATATTCACGGTAGCATTAGATATATATATCAAAAACAGGGGACTTAAACAAGTATTTATGCATCAATGCTCACAGTAGAATTATTCACAGTAACTAAAATAAGTAAACAATCCCAATGTCATTAATGGATGAATAAAAAAAAAAGAAGATGCTTTCTCTATACACACAATTGAATATTCTGCCTTAAAAGGGGATAAAATTCTTCCATATGCCACAACATGGATGGATGAACCATTACAGTAACTGTAATATGCCCATCATTAAAAGGTGAAATATTGTATGATTCCACTCATGTTAAGTTCCTACAGTAATTAAATTCATAAAGACAGAGGATAGATAGATAGGCAGATAGATAGAAGATAGGTCATCAGGAGCTAGGGAAGGAAGAAGTAGAGTTACTGTTTAATAGGTCAGAATTTCAGCTTGGAATAATGAAGTTCTGGAGATGGATGATGGCGATAGTTAATCAACAATATGGAAGGACTAATGCTTCTGACCCGTACACTTTTAATAACACATTTTATGTTGTATACATTTATCATAATTTTTAAAATTCATAAATTCAGGTAAGGGTACATGGGATTTATATTATTTATGCAACTTTTCTAAAGGTTTTTTGTCTTTCAAAATAAAAACATGGGGAAAGACTTAAAACTTTAAATTGTAAATAGTATCACACAACTGTAGACAAAGATTAAAGATTTAAAAAGTTAGATCCAGTAGTAGCCCTTTAATGCTGGAATTAGATTAAATCCACAAATAATAGATTATACAAAAACTCCATATATTCTTTATATTTGTATTTCATTCTTAAGAAATACAACTTTATCAGGTAACAGTTCAAGAACAGCAATATGGTTTGTAGTCACGAGTAAACTCTCTTTCAGGGAAAGGCTTCTGACTAATTTATGTCTATCTTGCAACGTGCCTAGCTGTTTAGATTTGGAATTAACCCTACATTTTTGCTTTCCAATGCCATTTATAATTATCAGATAACAAATATAATCACCCATTTGGAAGCCATATATAATATTAGACAACAAATATAATTGTGTTTCAAGAAACAAAACTTGCCTTTACGCTAGTATGAAATAACATGCTACTACCTCATGGGCCCTTCCAGCCATGAAATAACAGTACAACATCAACTTAGTTAAGGGAAACAATATATCTAAGTTTTCTAAAATACAAAGTTCTCAAGGTAGAAATGATTTTGTTTGTTTGTTTGTTTGTTTTTTGAGACAGGTTCTCACTATGTAGTTGAGACTGACCTGGGACTCATTATATAGCCCAGGCTGGTCTCGAACTCACAGCGATCCTCCTGCCTCAGCCTCCCGAGTGCTGGGATTACAGGCATGTGCCACCACACTCAGCTCTCTCCAGGTAGAAATGAATAAAACAAAATATAAAACAGATTTAGAAGAGATACAAAAAGTTAAATATAAGCTATTGTACAAAGAAGAAGATTTAGATCTTTTAGACAGTACTCTTTTTAATTTTTATTTATTTATTTTTTAAACAGGATCTTGCTATGTAGTCCAGAGTGGATTTCAGTTCTCCATTGAGAGCAGGCTGGCCGTGAACTCATAATTCTCTTGCCTCAGCCTTCAAAGTGCTGAGATTATAGATGTGCATGACCACTCCTGGCTGGTCTATCAAGCCACTCATGGTGGTATACACTTGCAATCCCAACACTTGGGAGGCTAATGAGTACACGGCCAGCCTGGCTACATGGCAAGACCCTGTATCACTCTCCACCCCACTCTTTCTTTAAAATGCTGTGTGTGCGTGTGTGCACGTGTGTGCATGTGTGTGTGTCTGAGAACTGAACCCAGGGCCTTTGCACTGAGCTACATCCCCAGTCATTTTCTACTTTTTATTTTAAGACAGGGTCTTGCTAAGTCACGAAGTTGCCCAGACTGGGATCAAATTTGCAGGGATTATAGGCACATGTCAAATTTCCAGTTTAAAACCATGAAACTCTTAATTTAATCACAAGAATTAATATCTATCAATTTGAAATCTCTTTGCTATTCTTCTATGAATAGTAAAAAAAATTGATTTTTGTACCTAGAATCCATATTAAATGACATCATCTATGAGTTTATAATTACACAAAAGTTTCAAATAACATCTGTTTATAAAATTATATAATTAGATGTAAACTATAGATATAAACCAAGATTATAAACTATATTTAAATTGATTATAGTATAATTTTCTCATTGAATTGGCTTACTCTATATGAATCTCTGCTGCTATCTTCTAATTATAAAGCAAGCTAAACCACATGCTTCCAAAATTAATAGTGTGTGGAAACACTTAGGACAAATTCATTTCAAAACTAACTAGAAGCTTATTTGGGATATTTACCACAGAACTTTTAACATATGACCAATACAATCCTTCTTATGAATATGAGCAATTTCCAAAATAAAGCTTTAAAAAATTTTCACTAAAGTATATTGTAAAGGATATTGTAATTTCAAGTGTATAGCTCCATGTTAGCAAAGGAGACACAGTGCATCACCACGAAGACCAAGAGATAGAACTTCTACCAGCATCCCCCAGCTTCCTCCCCATCTTTACCCACTGGATTCTCAACAACTGTAATTACTACTAACTATGCTAACTGTAACTACTATGCCAACTTTACATAAAGAAATTATATTGCCTGCACTCTCTTATCTGGCTTGTTTCCCTTGTTCAGTAAGGCGTCTGTAAGATTTATTCATATTGTTATAATTAGTAGCGGTCGGCTGTTGGTTTTGTTGGTATATATTATTATTCCTTTATGGAAACTTGTACAATTCGTTTATTCTATTACTGATTGATATTTGAGATGTTATCAGCTTGCAGGCATTATAAATAATAATGTAGTAGGTATACTTTACAGTACACGTGTATTCTTTTTTATTTTTTCTGTTTTTCTTTTGCTTTGTTGAGACAGAGTCTCATTATATAGTTCAGGCTGGTTTTTAACTCACAATGTAGCCCAGGCTGTCCTCTAACTCACAGTAATTCTGCTGCCTTAGCCTCCCCAGTTCTGGGATTATAAGTGAGCACCACCACTTCCAGATATATATACACTCATTTCTGATGAGAATACACCAACATGTGTATTGTCTCACATGCTGCATCAGAGAACTCACAGGAGTGTTAGATGCGGCCACGCCAGTTGGCAAGGTGGCCATTCCATACCCCACTAGCATCCAGTTGTTGCACAACACAACCCTTTTGGATTGGGTTCAATTCAATGAATATATACATTAATGATAAGTGATGCTCTAGTTTCCAGAGTAAAACTTCATTTTAAGTAGCATCTGCCTAATTAAAAAATTATATTGTTCACATGTAAAATTTAACCAAACATTTAAATATCAGTTTACATATAACCAAAATAAAATCAAAGCATGTCTTTTTTCCCCTGACAACATAAATCAATTCAGATAGGCCCAACCTTCCCAGGCTAACAAAACCCCTCCCCACACTATCATTAGGTAAGAACACAAGAACCAACCTATTATATTCCTAGAATTGGCAAATCTCTGCATAAAGCGTGAACTAGTGAAGAGCAATTCAAACATTTTCTCAGCACTGATGTGAAAAACACGGTTGATATAAAGTCTTCCTTGAAGATCCTTCTCAGGAATATTTTCTAGCAAAACAAACAGAACAAAAGAGAAGAAATTAAGAAAAGGTAATTTCAAAGCTTTGGAAGGTTTTGTGTTTTGTTAAGTTTTAGCACAGAATGGTTTTCAATTAAAGTGATCAGCACATTGCAGGACACTCTCAAAACTCCAAATTAGAATTATATACATATGCACCATACAAACATATTACAAACAAGGATATATTGTTATGCGCAGTTCAAGACAGATGATCAATAATTCAATTGTTGAAACCCAAAAGCTGCAGAAATGTTTATCTGAAGTGATATTGAATCTCCTAAAACATACTACTCAAAAGAATAAAGTTCATAAAGGCAATACTGTGGCAGATAGGATTGTACACACCATGGCCATTACCAGGTCCTATCTCTGAATGTTCATACCTTCAGTAAACATTAAGTCATGGCTATATTAACCCATGGCTATATCTCTTACATTCACTAACTTGTCAACCTGAATAATTTTTTGACTTGACTTCAACTCCTCCAAAACAAGGATAACTATCTTCACTTATCCCAATTACATACATTAAAAGAATAGGGAATATTACTGAAAATATTCTTCAAAGCTGCTAATGTCCATTGGAACACTACATGTTTTTCTGGGAACTTGATAATGATGATGTTGAAAACTACTGCTGGCAAATGAGGCAGTACCTGTTCACTTCTCCTATTTCCTGAAAACATTAGATAAAGCTGCCCATAATTTTCCATACTTTTATATGTCAGACACTGTGCTAAGCACCTTACAAGCATTGACTCATCCTCTCTGCAATCCTCTGAGAAAAGTGGCATTCCATTTTACAAGTAAGGAGACTGAGGCACTATTTTACACTGCCAGAAAAAGTTGAAGAATTTCTTTTAAAAGAAAGCTAAGCTATTACAAACTGTGCCGCTATAAACATGGGTGCACATACTTCTCTGTGATATGATTCTTTTAGTTCTCTTGGAAAGATACCCAACAGAGGGATGGCTGGGTCAAATGGAACCTCCAGTCCAAGCTCTTTGAGGTATCTCCATATTGATTTCCATAGTGGTTGCACTAGTCTGCACTCCCACCAACAATGGAGGAGGGTTCCTTTCTCCCCACAACCCCGCCAACATTTGTTATTGTGTGATTTCTTGATAGCAGCCATTCTTTGTGGGGTGAGGTGGAATCTCAGTGTTGTTTTCATCTGCATCTCTCGAATGACCAGTGATGTGGAACATTTTTTCATATATTTTCTTGCTGCTTT